TTGTTTCCTTCCCCTTTAATTTTTATCCAGATGCTCTCCACCTGATTAAAGTCCTGGATCTCTTCACAGGTGTAAACCTGTGGAGGTTGGCCATTGCCTTCCCCTGAGGCTGAGAGCATGTAACTTGCCCAAGGTCACCCGGTTGGTTTCACAACCAAGCTGGGAATTGAACCCAAATCTCCAGAGTTGTAGTTGAGCACTCAAACCACTACACCTTGCTGGATCTCAAGCAAAGAGTATAAGTGCTATAGATGCCCTTGAAGGAATCAAGCCACTCATAAGATCCTGAAATCAGATCAAGTGAGTAATTTAAAGAGTAGTCAGATTCTACTTTCCTTCTTATTGATCACTCTCCCATCCCCAGGAATTCAGGCCCCGAAGCTGCAACAAACAAACTAGCCTAGGACAATGACAAACCAGAATTCTCTTCTAGGGTTGCTGCATTCATTATGGGGCAGGGCTCTTGTGGCTTTAATATTTAGCTGCTCCTTGATCAGAAAGGCTTACTGTAAAGATGTCTCAGAAGAAACTATGGCACCTCTCATCCCTCACGCCCAACCTCCCTTTTACCTGATGCAGTCTTCCCAACACAGCTATTTACTGACTGGTGGGGAGAGAGCAGATAATAATTCTAGTCTGTTCCTGTAGCTGGAAGCAATGAGAGGGATCCTAGAATGTCATGAAGGTTACCTGTTACTGTGCTACAGAAATGGAGGGAGATCCTTCACTTTTTCCTCTTCCCAGTGTTACATCCAGTCCTTTACTTTCAGTAGTACCTGTGGTAAGTCCCAAGAGGCTTCTGTGGGCAGGTCCAAAACCTACTTCCACTGCATGCTCAGAGTTCTTTGGAGTCCAGCCAATTGTCTAATTCCCTATTTCTTTCCAAGCAAAAGGGGGCAAAGATGATCCAGGTCTGTCACTGATGGTAATAACAAATGCTGAATCCAAGACCAATAAATAAATAAATAACATGGTATTTGAACCACATTCAAACAACTGAGGTCTACCCTTATCTTTACTTAGCTTGATGATTATTATTATCTGGAAGGTTAGAACATTCCCCTCCTTTCAACTTGTAAGTTAAACTCTTTTTTTAAACCTTTATTTCTTAATTATATTCTTTTGCACAAAGTAACCCTTGTATCTCTCTACTAGTTTCATCCCTAATCTCAGAGTACCACTGAACTTGCCCATTCATTGGAAACAATGCCACCTACAGTTCCAACTTTCATGGCTGGTTTCTGGTTTCACTGAACTTGAGCCAGACCTTAACCTTTTGGGAGGAAAAGCCATAGATGCACACAAAAGACTACTTTTTCTTCGGTTCCAATATAATGACACCTGATACAGGCAAAGATGGAAAAAGAAATCTGAGTATTCAATATGCCAGAATGAAAACTCGCAGGAGTGGGATGTTCAGGGAACAGTGAGAGGGAGGGAGGAATACCACTGGGCATTGCAATTCCTTTTCCAAGTGAATAAATGCTTCTATGTCTGGATGAAATGCCTAGGCAGGTCAGGTGTTCTTAGGTCTATAAATCACACCCACTTTTAAATCATTTATTTCCTTGGCCAGGAACATTCACCAGCACAACTGATCAGCTCCGGTGAGCAAAATCCAAAGTCTTAACTTTTTCATTGCAATTTACCTGACAAATGCAAATTGCACATTGTGATTTATCAGTTCTCTGTCAAATATTCACTGAGGATGACTCTTAATTTTAACAACAGTAATGAAAATAGATCTCATCACAGCCATAACAGTTTGCCACCAATGGATTTACATTTATCCAGGAACAGATCAAAACAGCTGAGACTTGTATAATAGTATTGAAAGAGAAGTTTAACTCAGTTAAACTATTAGGATAAAGGTTATGACAACTGATTTGTTTGCCTTTGAAGCATGTTTGAAACACAGTTTTGTGAAGCCTAGCATCTTTTTTCCTAGCAAACCAGAGATGTATACCGTACTCAATCAGGTTTTATTAATTTCTTAACATTTTTTAACAGGTGGGCTAGGCACATATTATTGCCAACATTAGTATTATTAGAATCTATATAGCTATTCTATTAAATTCTGTCATTCTACTGTGCATTGTATATAGGTAGTCATTTAGGGCTGGGCATAAGATTTACTTCAAACAACGCCATTGAAATCAATTAGTCAGTTAATTGATTTCAGAAGATATGCTTTAAGTATAACCATGTCTGTTGCCAACCAATAATGTACAGATATTTGAAGCTAGCAATTTTTGTGCATAGAAAAGATTTTATGGCTTAGAAGAAATGTTGTTGTGTGATTTCAAGAAAATTTCTTATGGTGAATCTAAGGCAAACATAGAGATTTTTCTTGACAAGATTTGTTCAGATGGAGTTTGCCCTTGCCTACTTATGAAAATGTATCTACACATCAATGGAGTGCATGCACAGAACTTTCATATGTCCCTCTGACGGTTATATGTCTAGCATCCAGTCCTGTTGAAAGTGCTATTGATCACTTAGCCCATGGAATTGTAATTACATTATCCTAAAGGAAACAAATGTGTATCCTAAAATACTCTT